ACTCCAAGGGCAGTGTGAGCAGTGGAGGAAGGAAGGAAGGAAGGAAGGAAGGAAGGAAGGAAGGAAGGAAGGAAGGAAGGAAGGAAGGAAGGAAGGAAGGACAAGAAGTTCTAGATGGCCGGTCCTGGAGAAATAGATGAGCAAATTTGTGTGTGTAGTGATTGATACCTTAAACTTCTATGTAACCATTAAATAATACTCACATATGTAAAATTGAAAATTATGTTTAATGAGGATCAAAACTAGTTAATTGCAACACAAATTCTATCTACCGAGAATATTTTCATGTCTTAAGTCTCTACACAGAAAAGAGTTGGTCATAATAACTGCAGTTACCACTAAGGTGCTCTGTAAAGTATTGGTGTGTGCAATAAAAATAAAATACTAAAACATAAACACAGATATTTGTACCTTTTAAAATATTCAATACAAATCAAAAACATAAATGGAATACTATAAAAATATTATGGGATAACTGGAAAATTTAAAAGACAACAATATAAAAGCAGCCCTCTTAAAATAGAGAAAAATAGGAACATCATTGAAGATGGCAAACATGCATCTCATTAGGGAATTGCAAATAAGAGCCACAAGAGCTTCTGTCTTATACAATGGCCAGCTTTGAGAGAAACTAGCAGTACCAAACATTGGTAAGGATGTACATTATCAAGAACTTTCTGGGGGGAGGGAACGGGAGGAGGGGAGGGAAAGGGAGAGGGACCTGGAACTGACTTGTGAAGCAACCTTGTTTCTTATCTAAATTTAAAAAAAAAAGAATTAAAAAAAATAGAAAAAAACTAAAAAAAAAGAACTTTCACTCACTGTCGCTAGAACTAAAAATGAGAACCAATTAGAAAGATTATTACAAAGTTAAGCATAATCTCACTACACAGTTGGATAGTTATTATCATAGATATTTGTGCACTTGTGTAGACAGTTTGTATCCACACAAAAACCTGCACAGAGGTAGTTTTAGCATCTCTAGTGATAATATACAAAAACCCAGTACCAACCAAGACATCCATCAACAATTAAACGGATGAACAAAGCATGTCATATCCTTATAAACAACAATGAATATTTTTTCTAAGATTAGGAAAATAAGCTGCTAAAGCACATGGAAGAATAGTAAATCACATATTTACACAAAAAGAACCAATCTGGTCAGCCAAATACTGTAAGACTCCATCCATGTCACAGACTCAAAAGGACAAGGCTGTGTTAAAAAACAAATCAGTGGTTACCAGAGATTTTTAAGAAGAAAGATGATTAGACACACATAGGGCATTGCTAGAAAAGTGATGCTCATCTAAGACATGTTCCATCATGTCACTGTCAAAGCCCACAGAATGTAGTGACAAAGAGTGAACCTTAGCTACTGATAATGTATCAAGACTGACCCATCAGTTTAATACCACACTAATGCCAGATATTAATACTAGGAGATAGGTGTAAATGTGATGTTGGCAACATAGGAATTCTCTGTACTATTTTTAGGATTCTGTACCCCTAAATTTTCTCTAAAACATAAAGTGCATGATTTTAAAGTCAGCCCAAGATTACTAGTTTACATGAACACAATCTGGCATTTTTCTGAGTAAAATCACTCTTCCTCCAGCAGTTAAATCTCACTTCCTGTTGCAAAATTTTCTTGCATGTCACACTCCCTGGGTCATGTCTGTCAGAGTTGGGGGTGGAGTGGTAGAAAAGCAGACTTGTCCTCAGGCTGCCATCTGCTCTCAGAATGGCACCCCATATGCTGTTGGTGTTTAGAGTTCCCATTGTTGACGTTTATGAATTGACTATAATTGTACTGTGATTTCCTTCTTTGCTTGAGTTAATTATGAAGATGTTTAAATTTCTGAGTGGTAGTTTTTAAATGTTACTTATTTCAGCTTCATCACTTGTTCGAGATATGTGAGTTGAATATGGCCTACTTTTTGGGATTCTACTGAGAATTTTCCTTTGTTGGTAATTTAGTAAATGACGAAATTTTTGTATGTTGTCTAGAGATTTTGTATTCTGTACTACAGAGCTCAATTTTTATAGACTGTTTTGCCTGTCAAGTCTTGGACATTTATTTTTATGTGTATTTAGTGTTACACCACTTATTACACCTAAGTTTATCAGTATTCTACTGACATATAGGGTTGTATCTTTTATCACTTTGTCACATGTATTCAGTTAGCATTGAATTTGATTGGTATCATGTGATATTTTAGTAAAGCCTTTTAAATTGTATTAGTTCTTTGATATGCCTCTGGCCATTTATATTTACAATGGAAAATAATATCTACTATTATTCCAGTACCTCACTGTCACTGTTCTCTTGGAAGTTTTGCTCTTTGAGTATTTGTTTCATATGTATTTATAAATTGTGAGAAACTGAAAAAAACTATTCTTCTGGGATATCTGCACCCTAACCCTGGGAACCTCTGCCTGGTACCCACCATATATGACAAAAAAGAAGGGTTTGAGTGTGAAGCTAAGGGTTAGATGTGGGATTATCCTAAGTTAATTTAGGAAATCCTAAAATTGAATCATAGGAGCAAAATACAGATCTGATACACAAACAGAAGAGAGGAGACACTATAGCACAGGGGAAAGGATTGCATTGAAGTCCTTGAAGGTAGGAAGCTGGCAGCTACCTGAAACTCAGACACTGGGAATGGATTCTCCCTTAAAGTCTCCAGAAGATGCAGGGCCCTGAAAATACCTTGTTATAGAGCCAGTAGAATTGTTTTAGAATTCTGGTCTCCAGAACTGTGAGAGAATAAGCCAACAAGCCTGTAGCTGCTTGCCGCTGTAAGCACAGAAGAGAAAGAAATCATTTTTTCTCATTTTTAAGCTCACTTCATTTTAACTTACCCTTCATCTTTAGGTGTATCTCTCTCAAAGGCAGACAGAAAACTAAATATCAGAGTGGGGACTTAATAACACCTCTCTTCTAATCTCTCCCCCCACACAATTCCCAAGACTCTTCCCTGGAATGTGCCATCATTACTTTCCTAACTGTCTGGTAAACATTTTGTGTTCTGATTTTTTCTTTACATGGCATTGTTATTTTATTGCCTTTCTTCTTAATTTTGAAACAGTTCTTATTTGGTGTTTCCTCATGAGGACTTTAGAGGAGGATGTGGGGTGTTATATTGCCTTCCTTCATACATATCCAAAAAAAGCTATTCTGTGCATTGGCACTGAAATGAGATTTACAAAATTCTTGGATCACAACTTTTATTTCAAAACCCTGAACACATTCCCTGGCATTTACTTTTTTATGGAGAAGCATGATAATCTGCAATGTATTCAGATATGCTTATTTTATTTTACTGCCCCCTACATGTCTGAAGATGTTTCATCTCCAAAGTTAAATACTCTTTTTGTCTGTGCCTTAACATTAGTCTCTCCTTTGCTAATAATGCCCACATCCCTGAAAATCTGTTTTTGGTGACTTTCCCTCCTGCCCCAGATTCTGAACTGTGTCACCACCTCACTGGAGACAGCTCAAAAACTTCCCACCATGATCTGCCCTGGTGCCCCACCCCCCTTCCCGTCCTCTAGTATCACCTTCTCAGCACTCTGTGCTCAGCCCAGGTCATTCAAAATCCATGGTTCACACAGAAACACCAGTTCTCTCCAAGGAGGCCTTGGGCTGACTTTTTTCTTTAATCTTAATCTAACTCTTTCAGTTTGTCCCTTGCTTACTTTTTATGCAAGAGCATTTCTTTTTATGTCCCTCAGGGGAGGGGTCATCTGTCTCTGATGATTCTTTACAACCCTCTCCCTGCAACATTAATGCTGGGATGCAGTTGTGGTTATGTTATACAGATAAAAATAAAGAATGACACAGATGGCCCCCAACTTCTGTTGATCCAGTGTGTGATTTTTAGAATGCATGATGGGACACTCTTGTAATCATTTTCATGTTCGGGCGCTATGGCCACTGCAGTATGGAAGGTAGCCAGCTCTGTTGTGTGAGATAGACTGTGTATGAGATGATTTTGCCCAAGTGGAGGTTAATATAGATGTTCTCAAAATATAGAAAGCAGGGTAAGCTGTGATGTCCACTGAATCAAATGACCATCTTTCAGGTAGCAATAGCTTTAACTGAATAGTAACCTAAAACGAAGTGCAACTATAGCAGTTGATTAAAATGCAACTATAATTTGTTTGATCTACAGAAAGAACAACAAAGGTACAGACTCCGAACAAATGTGATCACCAAAGAGAAAGTCACACTCTCACCCCTACACCCCCACTTTCTATGGTCTGTTTGATCCACAAAAGGAAATATCTCGCTGACTTAGGTAACTCAGAAACTTCTATTGAGATCAGATGGAAGCCACATAAGAGATGTTAGCTTACATTCCAAGTTCTTCTTTACAGAGAATGCAACTAAGATGGTTCCCAAGATATTTGGAGGTTGTGGATGAGGTTAACCAAAGGGGAGTGAGAGGAAGAAGCAAGGCTCAGAAGCTTAGGCTGCACCCAGCTCTGCTGGAGTCCTGGAAGAAGGGGTGAGCTCTCTGAGGGTGATTCTGGGGCAAACGGTTGGAACAGCATTGCTGACTCAGGAAACCAGAACCCTTCCTCCACCTCTCAACTGCTCTCACTGATAAAAGGCGAATGAACTTTTGTTTCTAATGATTCTGGAATGTCAATTGTGGCAGAGAAAATTAGGTTAGCTTTAAAAGTCAATTACAGATAAATGTACCACATAACTGTCAAGAGAGACTGATCCTGAAATATGGAATTTCCAAGAAGCCAGTGAATGCATGGAGGGGGCTGTGACCATTCTCACCCTATCCCTAGTAGGAATACAAAATTCAGCCACAAAGCTCAGATCTTCTTCCAGCAGGGAGGGCCAGGCAGTGCCTGTCTACCTCAACCCTCACTGGCACCTTGGTTCAATCCCCTGGTTTCTAAATACCAAGAACACTATGCACATGCTTGTCCTCTCCCATGTGAAGTCACACGTGTCCTCTGGTTCCTGTCCTTAGGTTGTCGTGCTGTATGCCTCTACCTATGTCCTGGTGTCCCTCAGCATAGACAGATACCATGCCATCGTTTACCCCATGAAGTTTCTTCAAGGAGGTGAGCGAGCATTCTGTTATAAAGATCCTTTCGTGGGATGGGATTATTTTTGCTAATATCTTATCAATATGCTTCTCTGCTGCAACCACGCCTTTCTTTTCTTCCTCTTCTTTGTTGTCTTTCTCCTCTCCCTTCATTGTCTAATGGGTCTGACTGTCCAAAAATATACAATGTTTAGGTGCTTGGGGAATGCTACCTGATCCTGGCACTGTGTTGTGGCTGTTCACTGCTGGGAAGAGCTTCCGCCTTGTCCTTACTGCCCGGCCAGCAAGCACACCCCAGTGGTGAAATGAGTGTTGGCTCTTCACATTCTTCATTGCCAAGAAACAAACACCTGGCCCCCCTTGCCTCAAACCCACAAAACTGGAAAAGTATTTTTAATTTATTGAAAACAAAGAAACTTCTCCTTCATCCAGGATCCCTGAAAGCAAAAAGCAGATGGCACATAATACCCCCAGCTGATGCTTATGGTACTGGGCAGTGCTAGGAGTATTTGATGGTGTCCAGTGCACAGTGCAGGAGGGGAGGCAGGGCTCAGAAAGCTTGGATTCCTGAGGTATGGGGGCATCATGAAGGTTTTACCACAACCAGCTCCTGTCTTCTTTACTCTCTGACCAGATGGGAGGGGCAGAGGCTCTGCTTCCAGAGGGAGTAGCTTGAAGATGCCGCTGATGAAGTGATTTGAAGTGATTCCCAGGAACCATCAGCGGTTGGTGTGAGCCCTGTATAAGACCAGCTAGCTATGCTCTGCTATGCACACTGGCAGGACTGGTCTCATGAGTTCCTATCCTTCTCACATACCCATAGAAACTGAAATTTCACTGGGAAGAAGGGGAAAAATCATATATCTTTTAAATGTGACATAAGCTTAACTGGAGAAAATAAACAATGCACTTAAAATTCACCCCAAATTTACACACACACACACACACACAGAGAGAGAGAGAGAGAGAGAGAGAGAGAGAGAGAGAGAGAGAGAGAGAGAGAGAGAGAGAGAGAGAATGAAACTTTAAATCAGTTGGAAAAGAACGAGTTTGTTAATACTAATACTGGACTAGTTCCATAGCCAGTTGAAAAAATTAATTCCCCATGTCACAGTTAATTAAAAACAGACCATGTTGGGCCAGAAAAGCCAGTCATTCAAACATGAAGGAGTAAGAGAACATAATGACAAACCTTCCATCATCATAACAAGGAAAGGGTCTTTCTAGGAATCACACTGAAAGCAGAAGCAATAAAGGAAATCATTTGTCACTTCATCAAGGTCTTAAGCGATTTATACAAATAAACTCATGAACAGTGGCACAAGGACAATTTGTACCAAAAAAAAAGAAAAAGAAAAAGAAAAAGAGCTAATATCTTTCTTATGACAATTTTGTCAGGGACTTAAGAACATTAACTGAAAAAATAGAAAAGACATGAACACTGATCAAGAAACAAAGAAATAATTAGGAGACACACAGAGTGTTCATTTTGACTGCTAATTAAAGAACTGCAAGATTAAACATGGAGAGCAGATATTGTACCAGCCAGCTAAATGAGATTGAAAGAAGAAATCTTCTTGGAGTTGTGTACAATGGGATGCAGGTGGGCCTTCCCATGTGGGGGCTGCTTCCTGAAGCAGAAGGGTCACACCCATTTACTTATAAGGAAACTGAGGCTTCTGGGGATACTGACAGGCCCCAGTGTAGTGGACCCTGTGTGCTCCCCAAGTGTGTTCCCAGGTGCCCAGACATCTCTCTCTTTTCTTTAAGCAGAGAAGCAAGCCAAAGTCCTCATTGGGATAGCCTGGAGCCTCTCATTCCTGTTCTCCATCCCCACACTGATCATTTTTGGGAAAAGGACACTCTCCAATGGTGAGGTGCAGTGTTGGGCACTGTGGCCCGATGACTCCTACTGGACCCCGTACATGACCATCGTGGCCTTTCTGGTGTACTTCATCCCCCTGACAATTATCAGGTGAGAGACCAGCGGGCTGAACCCTAGCTGGGCGTTTTTCTTCTTTTCACCTTCAGATCAGTCATTGTTCCAAAGTCCTTATGGGAGCTTGTTGGGATGCAGGGTTCTATCTAATGCTACCATGGACTAAGCCCAGGTCTTCATCAGCAGAACATTTACAGAGGGTGTGCTCAGATGCATGTGTTGTGCCAAGTGGCTGATCCCATCTTTCACACAGCCATCCTGAGAGATAAATTACTTCCATTTTATGAAAAAGGATACCTCAAGATCAGAGTGGTTAAGGAACTTAACTTCACACAGGATTGAAATCCTGGTCTGCCTGATTACACACCCTGTTCTTTCTCCTATATCATATGACCTTTCAAACACAAATTATAATGCTAGCTTTAGGGATCTGAGAAATAAAAGAGAGACATACTTAAAACAAATTGAACAAAATGTGCAAGAGTGTATTAGTGCACGCTTGAGTAGATCGGCATTGGGATTTGATGTCACTAACGCTTCTTGAGGACTCCAGGAAGAGAAGGAGAATGTATGGGAGGAAGCAAGCTCCTTGGTGACCAAAGGCTAGGAATGGAGTGGAGGCAATAAGTGAGCAGGCAAACAGCATCTTCCAGGGAGAAGGGAGTTAGTAATGACCTCCTCTCCATGGCTAGGAGAAGAAAGAGGAGGCCACAAAAAGCCACAAAAGGCCTTGGCAATTAAGTAACAGGATATTCCCTTGGTCCCGAGGCCATAGATGACCACAGCAGCCTATTCAAGGTAGGTCTCACTCACTCAGCAAGATGTCAGTGCGAGAGTGGCCCTACCTGTGAGGATGGGGTTCATAGAGAGAACTCCCATGGCCTGTGTGCTTAAGGGCCACAGGAGTCCTGCATTTTTTGAGTGTCCCATATCTACCAGATTGAGTCACATCAAGCCATAGGAAAAGCAGGTCAGCCTTAGCTTTGTGGTAGTACACAGATGGTGAAAATAATAAAAAAGAAATTTCCTCCAATTAAAATTTGAAATGCATCCCTGATTATTGCCTAGGAACTCACATAGCAGGGTTTCCAGGTCAAAGGTGGCTCACTTTTAGGACTTTTGATACATGTGCCCAACATTTTACAAACTCAACAATGTGGAAGCTCTTGGCTCTTATCCAAGCCCAGAGCAATGTAGTACCCTTTCTTTATTTGATCTTCCCCAAACTGTAAGTTAGGAAAATACACTTTATTGCTTTAATGTGCATCTGTTTTACTTATCAGTTGGTTTGGCTACTCTTAAGTGTTTCCTGACATTATGGGACCTCCCTGCTTTGTGCTCAGGGCTCATATTTAGTCTCCTGGGACCCTAAGGCTGGGAGGAATGCAAGACATCACCATCCAGCTCTGACATTTTCTCAAGGCATGTCTTATAGCAAAAGGAAGCTAACAGTGACAGTGGCAGTGATTGGGACAGCCAGGTCACTTACTCATCTGAGGTCAGTAGCTGTCCAGTCATCCTTGCTGAACTGACAAATTAGCATCCACATTTGTTTCAACTTCCTGCCGTCCTGTCCACCAACCTGAATGAGAGAAGGCCAGGTGGAAAGATGAAGGTCTAAGTTTATGTGATCACCAAGGGTAAGTCTTAGCAACTGTGTTGGAAGAAACTGAGTGAAAGGAGAAAGGCTGCGCTCAAAACACAAAAGCTTGCTAGGAGGATCCAGCACATCTCAGTAACAGGCATGGATTCCAGGGGCTGGACTTGAGTGGGGCTTCACTACTGATTGACTTCCCATCCTTCACCAAGCCACTCCTCTAGGTCTCCACTTCCAGACAGGTGCCTCCAGCAGGAGACCTGCACAGCTCATTAGCTCTTGGTGGCCCTTTCCTTGCAAATATGTCAGGAGATATGAGACTTTGAAATTTCTCTCCCACATTCATTTGGCTGCTTTTTGCAGTAGGGCTACTTCTCCAGCGTGCCTGCTGCTTAACTAGTAGTTCTGTTAGTGTGTTTCCAAAGACTGAATTATTTGGAAAATAGTTTCAGCTCTCAACCATACCAGGGGCTCCATTAGAACTGCTCGGGCTTCTTGGCTGTTGGTGACCTTCCATGTCCTCAAGCTTCTTGGAAGCATTTCCTGCCTGACAGGAAGTCAGAGGGTCAGCCACCAGCTTTGTTCCTTTCTAAACAAAGAACTGGCTTCTCTCTCTTAGGAACAAGGCATCCTCCATCTCTTAACGAAGCTAAAGCAGAAATGGCACTAGCTAGACTCCTTCTACGTGTGTGTGTGTGTGTGTGTGTGTGTCTGTCTGTCTGTCTGTCTGTCTGTCTGTCTGTCTGTCTCTGTGTCTCTGTGTCTCTCTTCCTCTCTTTTTCTCCCTACCCCCTGCCCACTTCCTTCTTCTCTCTCTTTGCTTTATTTTGACCTCGCTGACTTGATTCTGTTGTTTTTAGCTCTTTTGGATAACATTAAATAAACTCTTAATTCCATACTTGTCTGGGTATCAGTGAGGAGGCCTAGGGAATCTATTGAGCCTTGGGCAGCAGATTAGTACCCATCCCAAGTATACACACGGACTTTGGACTCCCATAGAACAATGTGAGGTGCACTCTCACCCTGAACTCTTGGGGAAGGGTCTAGGCCCTGCCCTATATGAAATGACAGACTATGGACACCCCCATGGAGGGCCTCACCCTCCCTGCGGGAATGAGGGGATAAGGGAGGGTTGGGGGGAGGGCACTCGAGGAGGGGAGGGAATGGGAGACGGACCTGGAACTGACTTGTGTAGCAACCTCGTTTCTTATCTAAATTTAAACTGGAAAATAAAAAGAAAAAGAAAAAAAAGAAAAAAAAAGAAAAACATACATGAATCAAAAAAAAAAAAAAAAAGAAACAACTCAGTGGCTTTCACTTGCTTTGGTAGCTATGCCTCAGGACGCCTAATCCATGCTAAATATATTTTCAAACTGGCTATGATAATAGGCAAAAAACAGTATTATAATCTTTCTTTGGATGTTTACTTGTTAGTTTGTTATTAGTATTGTTTTATTTGTTTATTTGGGGTGTTTTGTTTTGTTTGGGAGACCTGATATTATGTGGGGTGAAAAGTTTCTGCATCCTGATAAGCCTCTCTACCGATGTAGCAATCCAAATAAAACCAAATAAGAAAAAAAGCCCATATTTAATGGATACAACCCTTCTGGATGGTCTTCCAGCCCCCCAGAGAGGAGAAGGGAAAAAGACCAGAGAACCAGGAGTCTGTTTAATGGGGAGCAGTTTAATACCCTGTGCGGTTGGTCTTGAGCATCCCTTGGGGAAGGGTCATCATTTGCCAGGATTTCTGAGATGCTGCACGGTATAGAGGGCGAAGGGAGAGGGGGGATCGGGTGAAGCTTCCACCATAACATCCCAGACTCTTCTAACACTCATTTATACATCAAGATTTCATTTTCTCCATTCTGTATCCTTAGAGATATTCTTCACAGACAGGCTTATCCATTTTTAATGTACTCTGAAGGACTTGGCATTGACCACTCCAGAGTGCTGACTGCCCACCTTGTGCCTTCTGCTCCCCCTTTATAACCATTTCTAGAGCACACCCCACTTCTGTCACCCATGTGTCCCCAGAGAATCAGTCCACATGCCACATGACAGTTCCTGGATCACCCTGTCTTGCTTAGTCCAAACACCTTCATGTCCTTCATTTCTCCTTTCCAACAAATTTGTTGGAGAATTATCTCTGCCGGTCCCAGACAAAGAAACCTGGATCTCTACTTCCCCAGCATTGTTCTCACTTTCTCCTAGTCATCTTTAGAGGTTTGGAATAATGTAATTGACAGTATCTAATGAATGCAGACTGTTCTCTTTTGTTCTCTTGGTCCCCAGTCTGGTATACAATAAACATTTGGTAAATGCTGGAATAAGTGAGCAACACAGACCAAATAGTAACCTGCATTGTATGTGGCATATGTGTGTCATGGTCTCTCTGTTATCTCTGTCTCTGTCTGTCAGTCTCACTGTCTGTCTGTTTCTTCTCTCTCTCTCTCTCTCTCTCACACACACACACACACAAACACACACACACACACACACACACACACACACTTCACATATATGCTCCTAACATGGAAATTTCAGATTATTTTGTGCCTACAGCACTTTGGGTTGTACGTTAATTCACCTATTAGGGTATATGGAAGGAAAGAAGGAAGGAGAAGACGAGGCATCATGTCACCTGCGGTGAACTCTCTTGAGAGATGTGCATGAATAAAGATGTCGCAGTTTCATCATTGACTAAATCAGTTCCCCAGGCTTGACTGACATGCAAAGGCAACACTCTGCTTTTCTGGGTCAAAACAACTCCTGTGGTTTCAAAGTTTACTTGCTGGAGCTGTCTAATAGTTGGGGCAAGGCTTTTGCCCTGGTGTAATTGTTCTGCTTTCCCTGCACTTAATTTCTTGGGACTTCATTGACTTTTCACCTTCCTATCATTTTCTCTCCCAGAGACAAAGGCATGGGAAGGGGAGATCCATGGTCACAACTGTAAAGGCACACATGGGAAAGCGGGCAATAGTTATGGAGCACTGATTTGTGGTCTATGAGGAAGATCCAGGTATTTTGCTTGGGCAACCGGGGAAGTCCCATGCTAAGGCAGTTTCTGTGAAGTACAAGGCCGTGGTTGAAGCAAGAACCCACAAAGCCTGGTCAATAATTTATTAAGGGGTGCAAAGGAGAAGCAGACTCACAAATATCGAACAAGGTAGACACCCCTGCTGATTCGGCTGCTGCGGTCCTGCCGCTCTGCCCAAGGGCGATGGTGACCAACCACAAGGCTTGCTCCTGCTCTGACGGCTCAAGACAGAGAGCATGCTACCTTCTCAGTTTTATCCCACCACATATGCAGAGAAAGCCACACCCATAGGGCTAGTCGCCCCAAATTTCACTGGCCGAAACAGGCAGAATTCCCATAGCACATGGTGGCCAAAATGGCGCCAGAGACCTGGCCATCACTAGCCGTGAGCATGAGGCCTAA